CAACAACTGAATAGCCAACTGAAAAGAAAAATTGAATATTCTTGTTAAATATGACAACCTCTCTTTCCTGTACATACAGGCCCATCCCAATTCTAGATGTCAAGACCAGGAGGAAGTTTGCAGAGTGATATGGGTATGGGCTCTGGTGTCTTTCAAATCTAAGCATTACCACTTACAAGTTTCAGGTTCTTCATCTGTCAGAATGGTGACAATAACAGAACGCGTCATACGCCTGTTGTGAGAATTAAATAAGATAATACATGTAGGGTGTTTTAGAACAGTGCCTGGCACATAGTTTTGTTTTGTTTTTAGCTGAGCCATCCCACCACCTGTTGGCAGCTCAGCGGCTACTCAGCTCGGGCCGGGACTCGAACTGCTGTTGCTCAGATCTCACACTCTTGAGCGAGCTCTTAACCAACTGAGCCACTCAGCTGGCCCTTAGGCACATAGTTTTGAGGCTTTGTTTGACCTCTGTGATGTATTATTAGCATGATACTAAACACCCTTCACTTTGTGTCTCCTTTCCAACTGCCATTCTCTTTCACGTCCCATTTTTCATTTTCGTCCCAACAACTTTATACTTTTTCATCATCGCCTTTATTCTCACTCATTTCTTTTGCTTTTTACCCTTCTTACTTCCTTCAGAGGCCCTTCTCCTGAGGAGAAATGGAATAATGACTCCCAGACAGCACTGCCCACTTCCCATTTCAAGCTGCTCACCATCAAGACTAGACCAAGGCCTTGCTTTATCAGCCTCAACACAGATCACTGTTTTATACACCTGGACTACCAAAAATGTTTAAACCATGACTCCTATCTTTAAGTTATTTAGACAATGGGGGTGACAGGATATTAAAACATAATCTATATTAATGCCAAAATAGTGGTTCTCCCTCTCATCAGTTTGTCCAACTTCCTTCTTTCCTTCCTCATTCAAATATTTATTGAGTATCCATTACTTGACAGGCCCTGTGCTAGGTGTTGAGAATACAAAAAAAACAGAAAAGAGAAATTTGCCTGTACAGTACTTTGGGCTTCACCTTTCACTCACTCAGTCAAATCAACCACACACCCGCCACACCCCCATTTTCTTTACCACACCTCCAAGTCTTCTCTAAGCTTTTGTGTTATACACACTTGGGATACCCTTTTGGCCACTAAACAATGTCCCTACTGTCTTTCAGAAACGTCAACTAGATTCAATTTCTCCACAAACTTTTCCTAGACTACTCATCTGGCATCTTAGGAGGACTTCCCCAATCAATCTCTGGTGTAATTTTTATTTATACAGCATATTTCTGAAGCTTATCATTGGTTTCTTATATCATATCATAAACTAAGAACCAGGGCTCTGTCTTATTTATTCTTTGAAAATTTCCACTCACCAAATAGCAGTCCTTTACCTTTGACTGACAGTTTGGGGTGACTGTCTGTCATGTCATGATTTTCACTTAATTTTTAAAGAAACAGACCGGGTAACAATGTATATACACCTTAATGTATCTTCTTTCACCACATTTTACATTGGGGCAATTTTCTAAAGAAATCATAACTTTTCTGTATTTTTAAAAAGGTGTTCAGTTTATTAATTTATTCCATAAGTATTAACTGAGTAACGACCATGAGACAGGGCTGCTGAGTGACTGCTGAGCACCGGAAATTAAAAAATAAATAGAAAGGCACGGCCTTCTCTAAAGAAATTAATGATTCATGCAGCAAGGGAATGGCATCAGGAAAAGCTTCACTGAGGGAGTAATACAAGACAAATTAAATTACAAAATTGATTTTAAAGGAACTATCAAAGAATAGTAGGGCTACACAGCCCAGATTATTATGTCCACCTCCTTTCTTTCTACTTGTGAGGAAAGTATTCTCAGAGAGACAATGCTAATTCGTGGCTGCAATGGAAAGACAAAGTTCCCTACAGACACTTCATAAAGGGGGACAAGAAGAAATGGCGTAATCCAGTTTGCCACTGAGTGGCTTTATAGCACCATCTCTGAAGGGTTATCATTACCAGCTCTCACAGAGCTGAGAACTGAGGAATGGATCTTCCTGCAGAAACCGCTTTATGTTTAAACTTTGCTGTCCTTACATCTAAGGAAGAAAACAGCCATCATGATCAATTCCAATGATTAAAAGAGGTTCTTATCTCTCAAGGATCCACTTCCCTTGGATTCAAATGTGAGTACCATTCTAGCACACTGGCTAAGCTGCTTTCTCCCCGCCCCCCCCCCCATCCTAGTATATTCTCCCTCACCTACTCTCCCTCTATTATTCCAACCCTCGCACCCCATGTTCCTCCCCCTTCTCTAAGCCCCCACAGTACTCCCCGTCTGCACCAACTTTCCGCATTTACTCTGACACTGTCGTGAGAGGCAGAAAAGGATGATATTAAAAGCACTGGCGTATGAGACTACACTTGGAAGCCCTGGCTTCTGCCATCCATCAGCTGTGGGGCCTTATGCAAATCCCCCACCTTCTCAGGGCCCCCGTTTCCTCAATTTGCAGGAAAGAAGGAGCTAGACTGGGTAACAACTCCCCAGTGCCTTTGAATTTCCTGCGCTGGGTATCCGAGCAACACCGCAGTGGGCATCAGCTTCCAGGGACGTCCCAGAGAATCTAACGAGGCCCGGCCTGGCCTGGCCACTCCCGAACGTAGCCCGACGGTCTGGGGGCAACAAGGCTGGGCAGGCACCACGACCCGCGAAAGTGGGCTACTCACGATGAGCGGCGTTCTCTACGAGCCCACGCAGCGCCTTCAAGTCCGAACCCGCTCTCAGGTCCAAATCTGCAAATACGGCCATGCTTAAGTCACATGACCGCCCGCACGTCCGTCTGCGCAGGGGCTGGGTTTGCTCCTGAGGCATGCTGGGAATTGTAGTTTACCTGAACAATCGGTCCCTTCCTTCAGTTGACTATTTAAGGTTCGGCAGGCACTTGCCTCACTTTCAAGTACCAGCAAATACTAGTGTCTTGAAACCAACAGCCTCACTTCAATCCTTTGTTGTCTTCTTCTGAATGAGAACGTTCCGTTTTTCCCAGAGGGGTTCAAATCTCCAACCATTCATTCCTCCCATAAAATAGTGTAGAAAGTGATTCTTTCAAAATGCATGCATACAGCGTTTATTGAGAAGCTATCATGAACCAGAAACTTTTGCTAAAGTCTGGAAATGCTTTTTAAAAACTCTTAAAGAACTCATTCTTCTTTCCTTCCCCTGAAGTGCTTTCCCTTGTTTAAAATGGGCTTATCGGGAAGAGGGGAAATCTGACCTAAAAACCTCAAAAGAGGAAAGAGGACTCCCCAAGAAAAGCAAAGCGTCTAATTGCCCAATCAGAACTGGTGGTGACGCAGCATGCTGCTCTCTATCACACTTCATATCTTCAACCACAATATGTGAGAGCTCTTCTTAGGATGAGCAGTTAGCTCCAACACTGGTTTAGCCAGAGACAGATTGGATAAGGGAGGTGCAAAACTGAAATGTTTTACAGTTTTCCAGCTGAGAAATGTACATGGTGGTGTCAACAAAAGTTCACTGCTGCTAATCCAATGCCAACAGGTGTCCCAATCTGGGGTGCTGTAAAAGAGAAATTTTACTCAGGTTTGCACTTGGGTAACACAGCCTCTAGGGGAAATTGAAAGTGGGATCCCCTGAGACAAAGGGGAGGCCTGCTTATATAGAGAAAATGTCCACTCTGGTCCCTGATTGGTCCATTTTTATGCAAATAAGGAATCCAAATTTACACAGTTTGATCCAAATAGCTGGTCCGGTTTAGTCAGAATCATGCGTTCTGATTGGTTGTATGGTCAGTAAAGATGCAAATGAGGATATAGCTGCAAGTTTCAGCCCATTGGTTGAAATAGATACCAGGAACTCCTTTATAAGGATTGACTCAACCGGCAGGAACACAGTGTAGGAGGCTTGGCAACCCAGTCTGTTGCTTTTTCCTGAAATGCAGTGTGCGTGAGAGGCCTCTGTAAACAATGGCTGCTAGACTTTGGTTATGAATTTAGGCCCAATTAATCACAAGGAGTCCTTTTTGACAGGTACATTCATTCTCCAGGTCAACAGTGGTGTGGATCTCACACATGTAATGTTTCCACATTTTTGGACTTCATATAAATGAACTCCCAAAGATTGATAAATCAATTCTCCAACAACATAGAATTGTGGAACTATAATTTACATCAGTGCTTCTCAAACTATCTGTGAGGAAGGGCCAGTTTTCCCCCACCCCATTTCTTCCTGGACCAGTATGTGGTCCCTTGTCCATTACCAATAGGCAGCCAAGGCCTCATAAGACTAATGTGACAATATCAGAGCTGCTCTATACTTGGCTGAATAAGAAGAGTCCACTGACTGGGGGCTTGGCTATCTGGACAATGCTGATGTACTGTAAACATTTCTAAACATTTTCAATTTCTGTATTTATTCATCATAAACAATAGACAGACAGTATCTGTGGTCTGTGGACCACATCTTAATTAGTAATCTTTTACATGGTTTCTTTATTGGTCTCAGAAGGGAATTTTAACATGGATCTGTTTCATGCAATTCTCCTTTTGGTTAAATGTTTGGTTTTTTTTTTTGTTTTTTTGTTTGTTTGTTTGTTTGTTTGTTTTAGCTGAGCCATCCTGCTACCTGTTGGCAGCTCAGCGGCTGCTCAGCTTGGGCTGGACTCGAACCGCTGTTGCTCAGAGCTCAAACTCTTGAGCGAGCTCTTAACCAACTGAGCCACTCGGCTGGCCCTTTGGTTAAATTTTATAAAGAAGAAATATTTTGCTTTTTCCAATATTTGATATTTCCTGAGTAAAAACAGAAGAAACGTTTACTTCTACAAATAGAACATGGTCATACAACGCAAATCTTTTGCTTTTCATCAGAAAATCTAGTGTTAATTTTGCAGGATCATAAAGGCTTCTTCATCTATGAGCACAAAATCTAGATTGGTCAGAAATATGACCAATGTATGGTGAAGGTGAATAAGATGACAGTTTAACTATTTGATGCCAACATTAACACAAGAGGGCTTCTTTCTTTTTTTTTTTTTTTTTTAATTTATTTATTTATTGTTAGTTTCAGGTGTACAGAACAATGCAATAGTTACCCTTTTCACCCTCTTCTTTCTTTGAAAGTCATGGTGCTGTTGCTGTAAACTGTATGCACCCTTAGACTTCCTTTCTCATCTTCCCCCTGGGCCTAGGTGAAGAGGAAGAGATAGATCACAAAAGAAATTGAAAAGATAATGGTCATTGAGCACATTACTGAGGGCCAGCCAATTTGCTAAGTACTCACCTGCATATCTTATTCAAAGCAAGTGTGAGCTAAGTCCTGTTTTATAGCACGTACATTTTACATTGGAGAAATCTAAGGCTTAGATAATAATGGTTGAACTACACGTGGACCCAGGCGATTGGGTTCAGTTCTCACTTCGGGGACTGACTCCTGGGCAAATCAAGCTGAGAGGAGAGCTGGAGGCTTGGAAGGGAAGAGGGAGAGGAGAGGAGGGAAAGGAAGAAAAGAATGGAGGGCTGGAGGAAAAGGAAAGAGGAAGTAGGGAAAGAATGGAGAGGAAGGAGTGGAAGAGGGAAGGGAGGAGTGAGAAGAGGGAAAAGATAGGATGGAATAGGGAACAAGGAAGAGAGGCTGATGCTGGCCTGGAGGGTAGCTGAGGCAGCAAGGATCTGGAGTTTGAAGAAGACCCTGGAACTTTATGACTAGAAAGTAATAGTACTGTCTAACTACTCTAAGTACTTTGTTTCCATTATCTGATTTAATCCTCGCAACCAGCTGATGAGAGAAATACTGTTGTTCGTATTATATCAAGGAGGAGTCCTGGGTTCAGAGAGGATGACCCTTGAGTCATTGCTTCTTCTTCGGGGAACCTAGAAAGAGAGGGTGGGTTTTGGCATTCAAAGCGAGCTTTGAGCCCTTCTGGGTCTCCCCAAAGTCTTGTCTTTCTTGGGCCGGGCCCTAAAAGTCAGTGTGTGCTCCATTAGTCTTTGTCCTTAATCTCTTTTAACTTGGTTCTCCTCTCCTGGGTGAGCTGAGAAACATGCCTCCAGGCCCCTGCCAGCTGGCAGTTTAAGGCTGAGGTGGGGCAAGGCAGGAAAGCAAGGTGCATAATTTGCACAGGTGTGTCAGGAGCACCTGGCAGGGTCTTCTCCCCCAGATTGAGGGGGAAGCTTAAGAGATTTGGAGAGGATAAGGACAATTTCCTGCAGGAAGTAATACTTGAATTAACCTTTAATGCATGAAATTGAGGAGCAGTAAGATGTAGAGGTCTGGGGTGTATCCAGAATTGGCACAAAGTAGGTGGTACTCAGTCAAAAGTGGCAGATTTAATGATTGAACCCACATCAACACAATTGTAGCACTGTTGGGTGTATTCAATTATCTAAACACATGACCAAAAAATTCACTGAACTGTGCATTTGGTACACTCGCATGATACACCAGCAATCCAAACAGAACTCTCCTGTTCCCAATAATGAAGCACTTACAGGTGCTCCTGGACAGATAAAAAAAGATGCCCTTCCTCCAGGCAGACTTGCATTTGCCCCTATTCACCACCTGCTTGGTAAGTTTGTGCAGTAACCCCCTGCCCAGTTTTTCCCAGAGGCCCTGATAAAGCATACTAGAGAAGTTAATTGCTAAACCTAGAACTCTAATGGGACTCGATAGGACATCACCCATCCAGGAAGCCTCTCTCAATAACCCCTCCCTCATCTTCTTGCCTTCCCCTAGAAACTCCCATTACTGACTTGATATCATGAGAATCTGTCCATATTCTGAGTTGGGGTAGTCGATCCCTGCTTGTAATATTAGGTGTTTTTTTAAAAGTGCAATTAATATGAAAGTGCAAATTTTTTTGTATCTATATTTCCATCAGAAATTTGAAAATGAAAGACAGGTGGAGAAGGCTTGTATACTATAAAAATGAGCATTGTGAAAATAGTTTTCTTATGTATTTAAGATGTAATATATACCTGTGACAAAAGAATACAATTTAAGAAGTCATTATGAAAGAAATCAAAGGAAGAACTATGACTGGTATATGGAAAAGATATGTGATGATAAACTTAATGAATGAAAAGTAAAGGACTAAAATTTCAACAAGGATTGGTTTCTTAATGCAAGTAGAATAAGTGATTGTTTTAGTCATGGTTCTCCAAAGAAACAGAACCAAGAGATATAGAGTGTGTGTGTGTGTGTGTGTGTGTGTATGAGAGAGAAAAATTGATTTTTAAAGGAGAATTGGCTCACGTGACTATGGAGGCTGACAAATTCCAAGATCTGCAGCTGGTAAGCTGTGGACCCAGGAGCATCGATGGCGTAGTTTAAGTATGAAGGCAGGCAGGTTCAAAATGCAGGCAGAGCTGGTATTTCAATTTGAGTCCAATGACAGGAAAAAGCCATTGTTTCGATTTGAAGGCAGGCAGGCAGGCAGGAGGAATCCTGCCTTATTCGAAGAAAGGTCAGCCCTTTTGTTTTATTCAGGCCTTCAAAATATTGGATGAAGCCCACTTATATTAGGACTGTTCACACGTTGCTTTACTCAGTCTGCTGACTCAAATGCTAATCTCAGCCAGAAAAAACTTCCTACACACTCCCAGAATAGTTTAACCAGATATCTGGGCGCCCCATGGCCCAGTCAAGTTGACAGGTAAAACTAACCATCATAGTGATGCTACCTTGAAATTGTTGCATATTAAGTGAAAAAAAAAATTGCTCAGAGAACTAAAACTTTTTATTGAAGGCAAGTTTACAAATAATATTTATTGAAGGAAAAAGAAAGAACAGGTCTTAAACAGAAACTAGCATTTGCAAATGTAATAACTATAAACTCTGTTGCTCAGTATGTTGGGGATATAGCTTAGAACTTGCAGGATAAGTTACATGAAAAAATGAAATTATTTCTGATATTTTCTATGGAAGCTGACAAGGAAGAAGATTTATAAAAGCTGTTTTAATTGTTGAGAAGTTTGACTTGACTAAGTATCTTTTGGAAATGGTGCCCAAAATAGACACACCATTAGGAAGTGGCTAATTTTTGTTTATGGAGAGGAATTCTGAGAATTTTAAAGTAGACTTGTCAGAATTGGTAACCATGACTAACACTGATCCTGCAGGGGTCAGCGTTAACATCAAACTTATGCAACATAAGCACAATGTGACAAGATTTTCCAAGACACTGAACTTTAGCCAATTTTTTATTGTACTATTGGCCAGAAACCACTTAGAACTCTAAACGTAAAAACTATATAAATAATAGCATGGTAATTAACCATGCCCCACCCCCAAATAGCTGTTGTGGAGGCAGTGAATACTGAAGAAATTCTGAACTACTGAATGATATTTATTAAGCTTTCCACAGAAGTTCTCTTTGTGGAATTTATATTGAGAAAAAGATTCCCCACTAGGGGGTGCGCACGCACCACTTATATTTCAAAATGCTTCGTAGGAAAAAACTAATTAAAAAACTAAGTGTTCTTGGATCTGTTATCTAATTTTCTATTCATCTTTTTTTAATGACACTTTTAAAGGTTACATTTATTTCATCAAGAGAATGAAATTTTTCTAAATGGAAGGAACCAAAGGGAAAAAAAGAGCACATTTTCGGAGTCAGTGTTAAGGGATAATGTAAATAAAAGTAGAATAATTAAAGGACACATATATCTAAATTAAAACAAAGCTCATGATTCACTTTTAAGCTGAGTAATTATTTTAAATCATGAATGACTCTTGGTTATAGGCATTATTCTACACTAAATTTTTTCAAAAAAATATTATTAAACACCTAGGATGTGGCAGGAACAAGGAAATACCTTTGCCTTTGTGGAGTTCACAGTCTAATGGAGAAGACGGTCATGTACGTGTAAAGCCTAATGCAACAGGGGTGCTGTATAGAGATTTGAAAAAACTGCTTTAGGAGCCTAGAAAGGATGAGATTAGCTATGGTGAGGGGGGATCGTCACCGAGGAGATATTCCTTTTTCCTACACTAACTGCTTTTATCCCAGTTGGGCCTCCCCAGTGTTTCTGTTGACAGATCTCAGTCCTTGTCGCTAAGATGTGTGTTCTGTCTCTGTGCTGCTTGCTCTATAGCCCTACTGGCAGCCACATATTTATATACAATGATCTGGATATTTATATACAATGATCTTAGCTCTACACCTGTCTAAGCATTCTTGTTTTCTGACTCCTTTCTCATCCAATTCTGGGTTCAAGGGACACCCAGGCAATTAATTTAGTTGAGTGAGGCAATGGGGTGTAAAAGTGAGCAGCTGAAAAGCTTTGGAGAAATGAAAGAATAGCCCTGTATGGAGTCAGCTGTGTTGGCTTTGGAAATTAATAGAACCCCAGTCAGCATGACATTAGTATGCTTAACTGACTAGTAAGTTGCTAATGAATCCTATGGCATAGAAAGCTTTATTTTACTTGTGTTTCTTAAATAAATCTAGATTGTCCACGTATGCTGGCTTATGGGAAAATAAACCCTCCTAAACTTATGTCCTATGGATGGGTATGTGTGGTTCTGCATAGATATGATTAAGTATATGAATTTAGATAAGCTAGATGAGCACCTAGAGGGAAGAAGAGCTTATAAAACGGCATAATTCCTGTTGTAGGACTTGGCTGCTCTTCTGTACTCCCCCAGAGCAGTTTTGAGAGTGGGAGATTGCCAGTTGGGAGATTACATCACAAAGCTGTAGTCTCAGGTGCCCTCGCTGACAATTTAACGAGAATGCTGTTACAAGCAATGAAAGTCTGGACAAGGTTTGGTGCTTTTTAAAGCAGCAGAGCTATTTTTTAAATAAAATAAATAAACGAGATTAAAAACTAATGATATAATTCGATTTAGATGCCAACACTTCTCTTATTATCTGCAGTATAAGTGCCGGAGAGTGGGCAGGCGGGGTAGAAGGGAGTTGAAGGAAGCAACACCTTGATATGGATTTTAAAACACCAGGAAATCAAGGGCAAAACAAATAACAAATTTAGATGAATGTGTAGGTATTTTATGAATATTTTGTGAAACTGTATCTTTAGCTTTTCTTTCTGAGAAAATTACGGAAAAGCATACACAAGATTTTAGCATTTTTATGATTATTTGTTAGTTAAGGTTAGAAGGAAACTGAAAGAATTCCAGGTTGTTCTGTCATGATTTTGGAATAATACAATGATAGATGAAATTTAAACTCAACAGAAGCAAGGTAATGCTGCAGAAGCTGAGATTTTCAATAACTATGTTTATGCATTGTGACAGCTTATAAATTAGAAACCTAGAACTCTTAGGAAATACACTCAGCCATCAACCAGGGATAATATAATAGAGGTGACTGCTCTATAAAATGGGGAGTTTGGACCTGATGTTATATTGAAAATGGAAGAGGAAGTAAATTTGAAAGTAGCATTTTACTGATTATTTGGTGACTTTATATGCCTTACAATTAGAAAACAAAAGTAAAAGGACATCAGAAGCTGCTATGAAATATAAGTTAGTTGGGTAAAGGCTGGTAAGAGTGTAGGTACAAATTATATTAACTACAGATTCAAATGGAAGTGAAACTGTTACTTTTCAAATTCTTTATATGATTAATCAATGTGGAATGTTATTTAAAAGAACCAACACAGAAGGTAAGCTGACCTGATAAGTACTCTGAAAAAAATGAGAAAAATCAAAAGTATCTTGTGAAATTTACTACCTTAAGGAATTTTAAGAGGCCTTGAGAGAATGCTAAACCTCAAAACCAAAACTGAGACATCTCAATGCAGTCATCTGCTTCTTTGTATTGAAGGGTCAACAAATGGTTTCTTTCTTTCTTTTTTTTAAACTTTATTGGGGAACAATGTGTTTTTTCCAGGACCCATCAGCTCCAAGTCAAGCTGTCCTTCAATTTTAGTTGTGGAGAGTGCAGCTCACCTCCAAGTCCAGTTGCTGTTTTCAATCTAGTTGCGGGGGCACAGCCCACCCATCCCATGCAGAAATGGAACCTGCAACCTTGTTAAGAGCACATACTCTAACTGAGCCATCCGACTGCCCACATGCAGCTCAGCTCAAGTCGTTGTCTGCAATCTAGTTGCGGAGTGCGCAGCTTACTGGTCCTGTTGCTCAGAGAGTCCGCTCTAACCAACTGAGCCACCCAGCTGCCCCCACAAATGGTTTCTTAAATGCTTCCAACTACAAACTAGTTTTCTTTTGTCTGAAATTATGTTAAAACTAACGCAAGTGAGGTTGAAGAAATTTCCTCATCCATCTTCTTCACTATCGAATAGCACTGCTTTGTGGCCTACATATTATCTTCTGCTCTTCCTCTGACTCAATGTATTGATCTGTTATCCCAGGCAGAAGAGAGCCTCTGACATTTTCATAATAAACAGTGGTCCACCATTTAGGGATTTTTTTTTTGTCCTACTTAAAAAATGGTTTTTTGTGTGTGGTTTTTTTTTTTTATGTGTAGAGGGAAGACTATGGACATAGTAACAAGAAAAACCTGAGTTTGAAACCTACTATTAATTCCCAGTTGATTGAGGGCAACAGAAACTTTGTTTTCTTATCTGGAAAAATAGGGCTAATCCCGATTTGAAGAGGTTTCTGTTCCTTTTCTTCTTCTTTATAATCTGCTAGGGCCTAAATAGAAAACAGATTTGATTATTTTTAGTCTTAAACTAAAGAAATCACTGCAGGCTACCAATAAAACCTTTAAACAAAATGAAGGAAGTCTCACAAATAATACAAATCAGCCATTCTGACAAGGTTTGAATAACAAGAGGATTGTAGGCACTAGGCATTAAATCAACACACACCTCCAGAGTTCTTCTGCAGAACCTTACAACCGGTCATTTCTTCCCTTCTGTGCAAGATTTCCAGAATGCCATGGGAAAATTAACCCTCATTTCAATGTTAGGATTTGAAGTCTGACGATAAAAGCAGACAGGGTCTATTTTCAGGCTTGTTTCTAGACGCCTGGAGGGTTAGTCAGAATAGGTTTAAGCCCCTGGAGGCCCCTTCCCCTTCATCCCCCTGGCTTCTCCTTGGTGCCAGGACCTGAAGGCATCCCTTCCTCTCCGTTTTTCTTTTTTCTTCTTTTTCTGAGCTCCCTCTGCCTCCCCCCATTCAAGTGCTTTTCCTTTTCCTCTTCGCTTTCTCCCATAAGTGGTCAAAATAGGAAACGGAAGTATCTATTTGTTGCTTGGTGTACTGCTCAAAAAGGCTATTTTAATTAAGGGGGGAAAAAAATTCCTCTCCAGGTTCTTCATTTTGCAATGAGTCCCAACGTCAACCAGCCCTAGTCCACCCCCACCGAATGGTCGTTGACTACGGGGAGGAGGTTTGGGTCCGAGAGGGTCTGACCCTCCTGCTGCAAGGAAAGATCAGCGAGCGAGCCGGCTCGGGATCCCGGGAAGTGCGTGGAGCGCAGCCCCCCGCCCAGCGGGGGAAGCCCATCCCGGGAGCCCGAGGGGCGCGGGCGGCGGCGGTGGCGGCGGGGACGCGACGCGGCTGCCGCAGGGGAGCGCCGGTGGCGGCGGCGGGCGCGAGGGGCGGGGCGCACTCCGCAACTTCAGCCCTTCCTTCCCGGGCGCTCTCGGCCGAGCGGCGCGGCGGCTGCGGGCTGCGGGCTGCGGGCTGCGGTACGGCCAGCCGAGCCCGCTCCGCCGGCACACGAGCCCGCGCGTCCCGGGCGTCCGTCGGGTGCCGAGGGGGGACTCCTGCAGGGAGTCCCGGCGCCGCTGCGCTCCCGCGTTGTCCGCAGCGGCCGGGGGCCTGGGACGTGCGGGGTCGGGAGGCCGAGCCGGGCGCCCCCCAGCGGCCGGCGTGAGCCCCATGGCTGGACCGCGCAGAGCGGAACCCGCGAGGTGAAGCCCCTGGGCCCGCAGCCGGAACGTGTGGCGGGGGCGCCGGCTCCATGGGCAGCAGCGCACAGCGGCACGATGATGGACGTTAACAGCAGCGGCCGCCCGGACCTCTACGGACACCTGCGCTCCTTCCTCCTGCCGGAGGTGGGGCGTGGGCTGCCGGACCTGAGCCCCGACGGCGCCGGCCCAGCCGCGGGCTCCTGGGCTCCGCACCTGCTGCGCGGGGTCCCAGAGGTGACCGCCAGCTCCGTGCCCACCTGGGACGCGCCCCCGGACAATGTTTCCGGCTGCGGGGAGCAGATCAACTACGGCAGAGTCGAGAAAGTTGTGATCGGCTCCATCCTGACGCTCATCACGCTGCTGACGATCGCCGGCAACTGCCTGGTCGTGATCTCGGTGTGCTTCGTCAAGAAGCTCCGCCAGCCCTCCAACTACCTGATCGTGTCCCTGGCGCTGGCCGACCTCTCGGTGGCCGTGGCGGTCATGCCCTTCGTCAGCGTCACCGACCTCATCGGGGGCAAGTGGATCTTCGGCCACTTCTTCTGCAACGTCTTTATCGCCATGGACGTCATGTGCTGCACGGCCTCGATCATGACCCTGTGCGTGATCAGCATCGACAGGTAAGGGCCCCGGCCCCCCCTCCCCGGGGTGCGGCCGGGGATGTGCTTTCTGGTAGCCCAGCCTCGCGCGCTCGCCTTTCCTGGGAGGATAAACCAGACTTCACCGCGGGATGAAGGGCTGCGCTTAAAACAGCAGCCCCCACACAGCCACCCTACAGCAACCAACTTCAGTTACTGCAAAGCCTATATACACCTTTAAAAGAAGAGCCCGAAATATTCTGGTTTACGGTAGTGAGGGTTTTAAGACCCAAGTTAAAACTATTTCAAGCATTAGCAGTTCCACCAGGGGGTCCCTTGTCTTGATTTTCAGGAGGAGGGAAATTTGATCCTCTCTAAGGTTGACAAACCCTTGCTGTGAGCCTGAAAGTCAATTCTTACTTTAAGAAATCGGTGGAGGAAACCCGCTTTGCATCTCTTATTGTAAGAGCTACTCCCCAGGCCAAAGAAAAGACCTAAGATGGCCCCAGAATTGGGGGTCTACATGTCTTAACGTTGCAACCCTATAATTGCAGATTCTGATTCTCATTTTTTTTTTGGAAGTCTGATTTTAGTGTTTGGCAACGCTGTTTGCATCCTGCAGTCTTACTGACTGGATCCTTTACTCCCTGTGTGAATGGTTGGTGCTAGCCTTTCATCAGATCCCTTGGGAATCTTCTCTTGAGAACTCTGCCACTGGAGTAATTGAAACAGGCTGACCATCTGTCAGGGATGCTGGGGAAAAAATTTCTGTCTTGAGTATCAGATTGGACTAGGAGGTCACCAGGGTCTCTTCAGACTCCAGGATTACAGGATTTTCTGCAATGGAGCTGGTCTTTGGCCCTAGAAATATTGTGCAATTGACAACTTGAAGTATGGTCCCAGTGCCTCTTGGCCACAGAACAACTCTGCTTCTCTTGAAACTGAAATATTAAACCTTAATATTCACACTCAGAATTCTGCTGGTATTTTAAAACCAGCACACGACTGGCATCCTGTTGTGTTTAATGATACAGAGAAATGGTTGTTTATTTTCTTTGTGGACCTACAGAACCTTTAAATACGTAGACATTTCAGCATAGGAGAAATAATTGATGCCTCCACACTTAAAATGACTGCCTCAAAGGATGGTCTAGCACAAAACTGAGATTTTCCTCCTTTTCCTCCCTGTAAACACTGCTACTTGTGGTTTGTTGATATTTAACATATTCTGCTATTTTGCTCCTTTACCAGGGCTTATAATTACTGAATAAAGGGAATGATAGGAAAGGGGGTATTTTCAAGGAAAAAAATATATTGTAGCTGCATTTAGTTACAGATCGATTATTTTTTAAAAGTTGATCCTGCCATTTTATATATATTACGTTTGGAGCTTCTGACAACAAACAAGGTATTACTTTTAATAGTAGAACATGAACTACATATATGAGAATATTAGTTCCAAACTTGACAGCTGAACTTCTGAATTACTGTAGTTAAGAATGACAAAAACATGCATTTACAGTCTGGCTGTGGCAACAGGAACGAGGGGAACACACTCAATATACATAGTAAGTATAAACATGAATTATAAGCGCAAAAATCTGAACTGCTCAGCCAACCAAAACGGTGCTTCTTGCATGAATGGAGTCTTTTTAAATGGAACTTAGTGTAGTAAAACAAATCATTTATACTGCAAGTAATGCATTCATGATCTTTCTTTTTCATGTTATAATTGATAAATGATAAATAAACAACACGGTGTGCTTACTTGTCTCCTAAGACATCCAGTACTTCTGTTCTTCTGGGCTGGGCTGGGACCACCGTGAGATTCCTGTTCATGAGCTAAAGGCTTTCTTCATTTAGTGTGCACGTGTGACTTACCAGCAGCAGCAGAAATGTCTTGAATACAGACAGAAAAGAGGTTAATTCTCCCTGGCAAGAGCTTCTAATTTCTTCGTCAACTATATCCTTATGATGTCAAAAATTGTGGGAATATAGGGATATAGATTCTGTCTCTTCATTTCCTATAAGACTTGTCCCCTTGATGAATTCTGCTTAAACATTATTTTAAAAGATGAACATCTCATTTCGTTAGATAAAGTGAAGTCTTGGTAACATTGGAAGACAGATTGCTTTTCTTCCAAGAACACACAGAATTAAAAATGAGGCAAAGGAAAATGCATTTGACATCTAAGGTGAATTATTTTTGAAGGCTTTTCTTCACTTCCATTGTAGAATATAACCATTTCCCCCCATATTTTCTTAGCTATTATGTGCTAAGAACATGTGCTAAGAAAATACGGAAAAAATTAATCTTCGTTCATTCATTTATTCATTCCCTCTTGAGTACCCAATACAGGTTATGCTGTGCTTTGTGCAGCATAATCAAAGATGAATAGTAATGCTTCTGCTTTTGAACTCATACTATATTGTGCAAGTTTGGATTTCTGTTGGGAATTTAACCTTTGGCTAATGGAACCTTTGATTTTTCTTAACCGCTCCCACCATACCAAGATGCTTTTCCAGCTTTTTCCAGTGCAGTTCATGCCATTTTTCTTCATAGGCTTCCACACCCCCATAGCCACCCTTTTCAGGTAATGACTCATGATCTTTGAAAAAGTAGCAGCCATTGGATGGGAACTCCCTTATCTTTCTACCACCAGTCTTTCCTGCATCTGGACCCTTTTTATTTCCTTCTAGGTAAAAAGCAAGAGAACACTGTGTCCCAGCAAAGATCAAACCACCTACACTACACCTCCCATCCCCTTTCACCTTCTGGAGAACTTTGTTCCTTCCTTCCTTGATCCCTCATCTCTTCTTTGTCTTCATTGTTTCCTCTCAGCTGGGTCAAGCTTGACCTTCTGTCTTTAAGAACTTCTTTGGCCTCACTTCTCCCTCCAGTCACTGCTCCACTTCGCAGTTAAGCTGCTCAAAGAACTATGTCCACAACCTCTGTTTATTTCCTTACTCAGATAGGTGAGGTGGACACTCACCAAGTCCACTGCAGTATTGTCACTGGCCTTCCTGGTCCACCCCTCTTTTATTGCCTATGAATAAGCTAGAAAGATCTATTTAAAAAAACTTTATTTTAGCGAGATAACATTTACCTATAATGGAATGCACAGGTATTAATATACAATTTGGCTAGTTTTGACAAATGTATATATCCGTGTAACCAAAACCCCAGTCGGGATATAGAATATTTTGCCATCCCAGAAATTTTTGTTGTGCCCCTTTTAGGATGATCTTTTAAAAATAGAAATCAAATTATCTTTTATTTACAGTTTTAAAACATGCAAGACAGGTGAGCTTATATAAGCAGTAAAAGTATGAAATAGTGCAGAGGAATGGTGAACACCAAATTCTGGAGAGGGGTTATTTCCAGCGGGGTGGGTGGAGGTGTAATCTAGGAGTAGCACACATATCAACTATATTGGTAATGTATTGTTTTTCATCTTAGTGGTTGATACAGTCTTGTTATTCTTTGTATAACTTTATGTCTGAAATATATTTTTAAACTTTTTTTTGGAACCATATATAGAAAAGCATACTATACTATACTATACCCGTGTTCACAAGTGAACAAACGGATTGTTGCAACCCGCAACTAGACCAAGAAATTGAACATTACTAACCTCCCAGAGGTCCTCTCCTGCCCCTTCTCAGTTGCTGATACTCCTGAAAATAACCATTGTCCTGACGTTTTTCATCATAAATTAGTTCTGCCTGGTCAGAACCGCATATAAATGGAATAGTATATATAATGTATTCTAAAATCTGGCTGCTTTTGCTCAATATAATGTCTGGGTGACTCATTCACAGTTTTTACCCTGTCAATATTTTATTCAATTTTTTTATTTTTTTATTTTTGCTGAGTAGTACTCCATTTAAATTGTTTATCAAGTCACCTGTAGACGGACATTTGAATTGTTTCCAGTTTCAGGATATTACTAATAGTGATTCTATAAACATTTATTTATGTACAAGTTATTTGGTGGACATGTTCTCATTTCTTTTGGGTAAATGAAACACTGGATTATAAGGTATCTATTGCATTTTCATTCTATTTGCCCCCTCATACCATTTGTATTGTCATTGTCATGCATTTAAATCCACATGTTTTAAAAACCATTAGATGTTATTTTTATTGTTATTTTAAACAATCAGTATTCTTTCTTATTTACACACATTTACCTTTTCCATCGCTCTTTGTTTTTTCCTACATTACCATGCTTTTATCCAGGACCACTTTCTTCCGCCCACTAGACTTTTATTACATTTTTTAAAAGTGAGTGCTGGTGACACATCTTCTCAGTTTTGACTTGTCAGAAAATGTCTTAATTTCACCATCATTTTTGAGTGATATTTTCTCTGTGTATGTATTTCTATATTTGATGGTTTTCCAGTACTTTAAAACATTATTCTGCTGTCTTCAGGCTTCCATCGCTTCTGTTGAAAACTTAGCCATTAACCAACATTAGTATTATTACTCCTTTGAAGATAATGTGTCTTTTTTCCCTCTGGATGCTTGTTGAATTTTCTCTTTGTCTTTAGTTTTTGTCAGTTTTTCTATGATGTCCCTAGGTCTGGCATTATGATTATTTTTTTGTTGTTAATCCAGCTAGAGTTCTTAGTAATTTTTGTATTTGTGTATTGATACCTCTAATCAGTTTGCAATTGTCTCTTAATACTTTTACTGTCCCATTCTTTCTTCTTCTGTCTTAAAATTTAGACCTTTTTACCGCATCACACTTTCCTTACACTCTTTTCTTTATTTCCTATTTTGTGTTTTTTCCTGTGCTTAAGTTTTGAACATTTTTGACCTGCTATCCAATTTATTAATTATCTCTTCTGCTATGTCTGTCGTTCATCCTTATGTATTGAGTTCTTAATTTCAGTCCTTGAAATTTCATTTGATTCTTTTGTTTTACATTTGATCCTTTTTATTGATTCTATTCTAATTAGAAGAATTCTCTGATGACATTCTCTGCCTTTTTACCTAATTTCTTCACCTTGTTATTATATTTTTTGTGTATATTAGT